GGTTCCCGGAGGAAAACGAGACATTTGATCTGTTGAATCAGCTCCTTCACCATCTCCTTCGCTCTATTCCATCTATCTTACATTAATTCAATGAAGTCAGAGTGCATTTGAATGCAGCCTCTCCGCCCACATGCGCATATAATGTTTTCGGTTTAAATTGCCTCCTATGGAAATACACCCCATTTTAAAAAACAGCAGAGTATATCCCACACCTAACATTTATTTTCCACTTTACAGGGAACATGTTTGGAACTTTGCTAGAATCTTTTTAAGCAGATGTCCTGTGGACCTATATATTTAACTTAGGAAATGTTTTCCACTATGGTTTGGAGGTTATTTATGTGTAGCTGACTTTGCTGATCTGGGTAAGTGGAGAAAAAAAAAGTATTTTTCTTTCAAACAGTTCCTCCTCTTAGAATTAAATTCTAAACGTATTCCTGATCAATGGTGGTATTTAAAATTAGGGCAGTATTTATGCAAATGCATGCAGGTGAAATGCTTGTGTGGCCCATGTTTACTTTTACATTAGTTATGTACTGTAATAAATGCACTTTAAGTTTCCTATTTTTTCATTTTTTTTATTTACCAAATTACATTATTATCTTCCACTACTTTGTGTTTGTTCCCACTAAATAGTGCATGCAAATAAAACATGTGTAATAATGAGTTTTTACCTAAATCTGTCTGTATTAATCTGCTGCACAGGGAGATAGGAGAATTATCTGGGGCTCATTTTGCATCTTTGGTAAAAGATAAAGAACACGCAGTGGTTGACGCGGCGAACAGTCGTAGAGGTTACAAATTGGAAGCAACAAAGAAAGTGACAGCTAAGAGATTCTGGAGTCCAGAGAGTATTTCCTGCTCCACTGTGTGCATCAACATTTCTTTTGGGCTGTTTAAATTCATTCACCGACACATTTCCATTTGATGCCGAGCCTGTCATAGATTAAACTACCTGGTTGCATCTAGAAAATAATAGCACGACCCAGAAAACATACGCTACCACCTTATTTCAGCTGGTAATGCAGATTTCATTAGCATCTTACAAACATCATGACGAAGCAGTGCGAAAAAGTACGCAGTCAAAGCCCTGCCTTTATGCTTTCCAAAGTCTCCTCCTTCAATGGATGGTTATTGGGAAAATATCGGCCCTGTCAGAGCTAATGCACTTCAGCAAAGCTCTGAGGAACTTAAAGCAGCGGTCTCAGTTTTTTTTTTTTCTTAACATGTCCCTGGCAGCTGTTTACTTGAAAGATGGTGGCTTTTTCACCCGGGCTGATTGAAAGTGTGTGTAGTGGTTGACCTTGACTGCTTTTCCATGTCATTTTTTTTTTTCTGAGGAGATGAAATGAAATAAAAAATAATAATAAAAAAGCCCCACAAGGTCGTTGCTTTATTAGTGATGACTTTTAACCCTATGATGCTACATGTATCATATATGATACATCTGGTTTTCGAAATCTATTGCATCATACAACCTTTTGCATCATTTGACGGTAAAAGCTTTGCTCCAAATCATGTTGTACACAGTTTTGATGATCGTGGTTCAACGGCAGGTCTGTGCTGTGTCAGTGTCAGCGCCCTCAGATTGAGCTTTTTAGGAGGATAATTTCTTCCTTCTTATTCACCATTAGCAAGCGTACAATCAGAACACCGGGGCCTTTTTCCTTGGAGTGCTTGTTAAAGCTCTGCGGGAGCGACATTTTCCAAATGTCCATTTTCCCTCTTTGACCTTTCTCTTTCCCTTTTTTGGTGTGTAACCGCATTTCCTGAAATATTCATTTGTAAATTATGTGACTTGAGGCATCACGACGGAAAAGGGAAAAAAAATAAAAAATTGGCATGACGGTATGGAAGAATCCTTTGTGACCATTACCGTTTGCTTGCTACTTCTCCTGCCTCCTTTTTTCATATTCTGGATTGCACTTGTCAAAAGAATTATCCAGGGAGAATCTGCAGTGCTGAAAAGAGATATGTGGCGCATATAAATACACCTCTGACGTCCTAGCTGCAGAGGAAAGAAACCAAGGTGAAGTGCATAGAACATACAAATTCAGATTCCATTTTGTTTTTTTGTTTTTTTTTTAGATTCTAATTTTTATTTTTCTCTGGGTCCGACCATCATGTGCACAGGTAATCCCTTTTGCCTGTGCAAATGGGACTCGCTGCTTGCTGGCCTACCTGAGGAATACGGCTCCATCAATCACCACCCACAGCCACAGATGTAATTAAACTTACAGTTGTTGACTCGCTGGGTAATTTGAGACATCACTGGCATGCTTTTGCTGGGTTGCATTAGGGGATTGCTGCTGCCCATGCTGATGGCGTCGTGTTCTCTGATGTTTTTTTAATGCTTCTTTTGGGATGCGGGCAGTTTGCGTGTTTACAGTATGAAAAGGTTTTGAGGTCTGTTAAATCCAGCGCTTCAAAAATGTCCCGAGTTTGATCTTGAAGGTGTTTTTTCGTCTGCCTGTTGAAACATTAATGAAGGACAAATTTGAGATACTTTTTTTGGGGTTTAAGAAAACAGCAACAACCTTTTATTACATATTTGATAAATACTATAACTGTTGTCAGTTGGACACAATAATTCAATAGAAATCCTAGATAGATTTGTGTTGCACCTGAAGAAAAGGCATATGATCAAAACCTTGTTTTAGCTTGATGACCCAAGAAAGAGGCCGTCAATCAGAAAAAGGACTCAAAGTTTTGAATAAAAAACAATCATCATTACCCTTTTTTGTTTTGTTTGACCTTGTGTTCAGCAGCTTTTATAAGAAGACCAATCACAAAAACATAAATGGCATTTATCCCGTTTTTAAAAATCAAATTCATTTTTTCCCCCCATTTAAATACACCTGCCTGTGTCAACCCGCATCATTGTCTTTCTAAGCTATTGTCTGTTTAGAGAAGTTTGGTTTGATCCACACAAGTTCTGTTTAGAAGGCAGAATTAATCTTGCCAGTAAGAGGAAGATAATTGGTGGCTTTCATCACCACATTGGATACAATTATTCCAATCTGTGATGTTTTAATAGCAAGTGCACTTTAGTGATTTGGGGTTTGAATGATGTATGAGACTAAATTAAATGACACGATAATGAGAGTCCTCCACTGTTGTTTCACCTCAGCGTTGGTCTTTGTGTTTGCTGTGTTTATTTGCAGGGAGAATGTGTTACCTGGCTTGCTAAATAAAGTGTCAGTGGTTTAGATTCTGTGGCCAAGTCGCTCACCAATTCCTGTGTAATGAAAAATGCAGCATAAGGGTTTTTTGGCACTTGATATATTTACATTCTTATCAATCATGCAATGCCACCAGGAAGGCATGAGAATAAAGAGCTCTGCAACAGATGGCTGAGTCCCCCCGCAGAGCCTTGATCTCAGCATCATCCAGTCAGTATGAGATCACACAAAGAGTCGGGTTGACATTGTTGCGCCGCACAGTTTTAAGATATGCAATTAGACACGAGCAGCCAGTGAAACCTCAATAAAACAGCAGAACCAGGAGGAGGTTCAAGTATGGAAACATGCTATTTGAGCCACCACAGAACTGGACAAAACTCCTTCAGAAAATGATCACTGTTACAGCTTCAAGAGGCATCTGAAACGGTAGTTTTCCGTAGCCTGAATCAAAAGCGTGTCATAAAACAGGAAGATTGTGTGGGTGAGAAAAAAAGTAATGATAGAAAATTGCACACCTCACACATTTCAGGCAGAGTAGTTTATTACACAACAATCTACCACTTGACACAACGTATTGAAAGAATTAGATGAAAGGTGTCATGGTTGTATTAAATAAAATAATGTGAGACTAAAGTATAGTATTTTTTATTCTTTATGCTTCACCCACACATATTGTTCCTCTTCAGTGTATTTGGTGAGGCAGTCACAGCTTTACCCAGCTGTTTTTTTTCTTTGGTTCAGTCCATTGAGTTTTCTGTTCTGGAGTTTTTAGTTTGCAGTGGCTTCAGCATAAAGCTGATGATGTTCCGATGTCCCACATATAAATGTGACAATGAATCCCCATATTCATTTTCCTGTCATTTACATCCCCTTGGCCTTTTTTTGTCTCTGTTCTCTACATCATACAAATGTGTCTCTCCCAGCCCAGACTCACTTCTGAAAGGATGTTTATAAAATCCTTAACTGGCCCAGTTACCTTGCCATGACTGAGGCCAATGTTTATCCTCCACGTTCATTCTTTTTTTTTTTTTATTCCGGCTGTAAACGCTGAACTTCCCCAGTCTCCTACACACTTGCTCGTTCGTGTGCCAGTTTGAGCCTCCACAGACATTCGTGGGCGTGCACGCGTATCCTTTTGTCAAGGGAGCAGCAAAACAGCGACCCACAGACGTCCGCTGACTCGTCCAACAGCCCTCCCAGCCATTTTGGCTCTGCAGTAAACAGTACATTTTTAAGCCAAACTGTCTCTCCTACTTTTGGCTTTGGGCCAGCAGCACTCCTCGACCTACTGCCTTTTTTTCCTGTGTGTTGGCCAACTGAAGTTCATTGTATCACTTTAAATAAAACACCATCACAGCGATTCAGTTTTTATTGGAAACTGGAACAATTTAAGGAAATTTTTTGCCTCTGTATTTCTACTCAACGAGTGAATCTGCAAGAAATGTGCGGTTTATTCTTTAACAGCCAAAAACCGAGTATTTCCTTCTGTTTGATCTGTGTCAGTCATGTGCTTCCACAACTCCTGGCCTTTCTAGGGCTGCTATGATGTTTTTCATACTCCCACACTCCCATCCGCCCGTAACACAAAGGTGGATAAACTCTTCACATATGTCCCAGCCTCAAACCTTTTGATTGCAGGTCCTCCCATCTGTTCTGTTATTTTCTGGCATCAATAAACAAAATTAATATTCAGGTCTCAACTCATCCTAATTCCCAGGTTAAGTTTCACGGAGACCTTCAAAAAAATAAACAAAGTTGCCGGAGAAGTTAATGGTCGATTGATTTTTTTTTTTTCATTTTTCTTTGTGTCCGTTGCAGCTTTCAGTCGAGCACCCATCCCCATGGCGGTGGTGAGGAGGGAGCTGTCGTGTGAGAGCTACCCCATCGAGCTCCGCTGCCCGGGCACAGACGTCATCATGATCGAGAGCGCCAACTACGGCCGCACCGACGACAAGATCTGCGATGCTGACCCGGCGCAGATGGAGAACACGCGGTGTTACCTTCCAGATGCGTACAAGATCATGTCTCAGAGGTAAGGAGGGAAATCATTCAATACTGAAAGACAACAAAAAGGTCCATTGTGGCTGGAGCCGTGATGTCACAAGTCCTTTATGAGCCCCACATCCCACTGTGTTCCTGTTTATTCAACCTCATGTAGGTGAGGTTTAGAATTCGCCAGTACCTGGTAACGGTTTAGCAAAGATCTCTACCACCCTGTCACAGAGGTAACGTTGCACATAGATAATGCATTCAGTTATATCAGGCTTATATAACATGACCTTAGACCACTTTCCCATCATCCCTTCTTGCCAGCCAGCGTTTTATTACCAAACATTAACTAAATCACATGCTAGGCCATTTACATTTTCAGAAGGGGACAAATGGCACAATCTGCTGAAAGTTAATGTGCTGATACTGCGCACAATGTTGTACATGTGCACAACGATACAGTATCATTGTGCATGACTCATGACAGAAGTTTGAGTTTGACATGGGAAAAAGTAAGTGAACTTTATTTGTGTAGCTCCTTTCACAGATAAAATTCCCAGTGCTTTACCAACAAATACGCAAGGATATGGTTTTGCTCCCGTCTATGAAAGTGAACACACGTGTGCGAATGTTCCTCCATGCTGCTCACTAATTGACTTGAGTAGCTCTGTCTGATTTGGTTGGGGGGAGTTCTTGAAAACATAATCACCAGATCTGCAGTTAATGAGCGACGCTGTTACTCACACCTGAGGTCTGCTGATATCAGATTTGACGCACCCTCTGTGGGACGTTTTGTTGATTAGACGCACCTCGCACGTATGGAAATGTTAGAAAATGTGACATTCTCCACACAATATGTTGATATTTCTGAGTTTGGAGACTGGTCTTGGACCTGCCCTTGAGTTTCTGCTTCATATCATAAGTAGAAAGTGTAAAAAAATGATCACAAAAAGCATCCCTTCTCCTGCTCCGGCCCATATAAAACAAAAACAAAGAATTGAGTTTCATCCATTAACAACTTCTAATGCAAATATTTTTAGACCTGCAAACCTATTCCAGTTATTAGTTTGCTCTGACACAAATCTCTTACCATGAGAAATCACTTAAATATCTTTAAATTATTGCAGTTTTTTATCCAAACAACTTGTGCTTCATGAGTGTTGTTTCCAGATGTGAGCCTTGCTCTCAGAGTTATGACCCTGTTGTGTAGAAACCGGGACATAGAAACCCATTATTCAGGACAGACAGAGTTTAGTGTTGCCACATTTGGCTTCTGCTGTGTAATTGATTGCCAACATAGGGGTAATATATACATAAGTTTGTGGTTTTTAACTAAGTAGTCTGCATTCTGGAAATGCAAAGCTCCAAGGGGAGTGTGGTGTGAATATTGTGCCTGCTTTGTTGACGTATTGCTGCATTAGGAGCAGAATAAAACTCCAAACTGGGATCATTCTTAGTGTGGTTACTCATTCCTTTGAGGTCAAAACACCCTTGAGCACTCTGAAAGGATGGACTTTATCTAAATTGCTCCTCCACATTGACTTTTCCTTGCTCACTTTATTTTCAAAGCTGAGAGTATGTCCAGTTCTTTTTTATTTCCAGAGCTTTAGTTCCACATTGGACATGCCCCCTTTTGTGAATACTAATAGACTTTTCAGCTTTATCAAACAATTACTCTTTGCTTTGCCGTTTGGTAGCATAGAGTTCAGATAATCAGCTGTGTGAAAAGCAGCTGACGGTTAAAAGAGGTAGTTGGAAACATGTTGTCAGATAATTGATGCACCCTGTAGCTCTCTTGTTCTCCTAGCTGCCCACTCAAACTGAAAATCCCTGCAGAAATGAATTGCCAGGTCCAAAGTGAACATAAAATACTGTGAAGAAGTCCATCTTTTTAGCATCTCATTGCTACTGGGGGTGTTTAAATGATGCTCAAAGATAACTACAACTCAATTCAGGGCTAGAGCACTTTGTCTTGGGAGAGGAAGCGATTAAGTGGGAGAAAGGTGTGGGTGGTATTAAATGAGAACTGAAGGTGCAGAGAGAGATGGATACTACAGAAGTGATCGGCTTAGAGGTTCCAACAATATTTGCAGGTGCGGTGACACAGTTTCATGTCATGGAGCGAAATGATAGTGGAAAAGCAGAGACTCGTTAGCCCCAACCTTTTCGTGGTTGGGCTCACAGAGCCGTTGCTAAGCAGACGTGTCAGAGCTCATTAGTGTTTAAAAAGAAAACGGGAGCAGAAGTAAGTGATTTCCACAAAGAAAGTAATTTATTTGATAAGTCACAAGTTGAAGTTTTACATATTTTAAGTTAGTCTTTTTTTTAAATAATTCCCAGAAATAGTAATGTGAAAATAGCTTCTATGAATGAACAACTTTCAAAACAACTTTGATGGACACCTTTGTTTTTTTTTGCAGTCCTTTTCTTTTTAGATTCCACTCAGATGCATCCAACTTTCAGCCATTACATTTGCTCAGAAAATCTTAATACGTTTTTCCTCACTTTCCTTTTTTTATGTATTTATTTTTTTCAACATTTCCGATAAGTTACCATCAACAGCGATGCAACTAATCTCTTTTATTAAGATTACATTTGGTTCTGTTTTTCCTTCTGACTCTCTCTTCTGGCTTCTGTTTGTCCTGCTGTTTCTATATATGCACCTTCACTGGAACTCTCCAAACAATATAACAATGTGTTATATAGTATCCAGATTTTGCATGTAATTGGGATTTTTAATGAGTTTTAAAATCTCTTGGTTAAAGTGTGGACTAGAAAATGGAAGTAGATAAAGAAGTTGACTCATTTTATAGATGAACTTTTTTTCTACTTGAGTTTGAGGAGTTTGAAGTGAGAAAAACAAAAAGAATAAAAATAAATGTATTTGTCACACGGTTTTTACAACGATATCACAAGTGTCCAATAATGTTCATGATGAGAACAAAAAAGAGGATTTTTTTTTAAAAACTGACTGGTTAATTAGACGTTGAAAGTATGTTGTTTAAAGAATAAGCTTTTCACTTGTCAACTGACCTGAATTCCATTACAGCACAGCAGGTCTTCGGCACCCAAGCTGTCTCCAGTCATTGTGGGGATATTCTTAGTTTTCATATTTCAGACAGTGGGATGCAATTTGAAAGGATTACTTATCTAAGTCATTTCTGTAATAACGGTAATTGTTGGAGTTATAGCTGTAGGCCTCAAACAGCAGGAGCTAACACTTTCACCGCAGGGTGGTGTCAAGGCCGTCCACCAACTGGTTTTTGTTTTTTTTGTGTCCTCAGATGCCCTTTTCTACAGAACGTATTATTAATTGTAAGAAGTGTAGTATATTGTCACTTCTCATTTAACTTCCCTAGCTGGTTTATTTGTCCCTGACATTGGCAGCCTTCTTTTTTACTGCAGCATTTCATTCAGTATCTGCAGCATGAGACACCTTTCTCAGATACTTCAGCGTTTTTTTTTTATTCCAAGACATTTTCGCCCTGATCTTTGGTGTAATTGTAGCCTGCTCCAGCGTGTTCTTCACTGTGGAGACAACAAATGCTGTTGTTTTGTTACAGCCGGTAGCTTTCATATGAATCCATTAACGTTCATTAAAAGGACAGAGAAGAGTGGCGAGTGCTGTTTTTTCACCTGGTTTTGTGCAGGCAGCTTTGCTTGAATGTGTAACACCCTTCTTTTGCCATCATTCCTAATTCTAACACTTTTTTTAAGCACACACAATGAAAAACAGGTTGGTTTAGACACCAAAACTGCTTGTGAAAGATGCCAAACACAGTCCCTGTATTCAGACGGTTTGATTTGAAGCTGGTAGTGCTCTGGAAAGCTGATGCTCCCATCTTCATTGGATATGATTCTCCTGTATTAGAGATTTTCTGTCTTGCCACTGAGATGTGTAAGAAAAGCACAAGATATAAAACCATTGGCTGGGGTGGCAGTTTCCGTCTTGCTATGTATTTGGATTTTTTTAAAGATATTTTGTATTTGATTTTATATCTTAAGTCAAATTTCTTTCATTGGATTTCTTAGGGATTTAAGAAATCTGACACATTTATTATGAGGGAAATCTAAGGAAGTATTTTAGGGTATATTAACAAAAAAAAGAGTATTTTTTTTAGTTCCAATAATTTGAACATTAAAAACTAATTAGCACGTTTTGAATGTCCTCATGTTAATCCCCTCTTTGGGGCGGTGCAACGTTTACCCCCACTAGAGCGTGTTCCACCTGCCTCTCCTGCTGGCACCGGTTAAGTCGTGGGGACTGGCGAGCTCTGCAGTTAGCATTCACACGGCGTCTGAAGATGAGCCACGTTGCTGTGGGCTGACTCTGTATGCCAGGCTTACATCCATCACAGGCCCTGCCTCATGCAAGCTGACAATACACATTTGGGCAGCTCAATCTGCCCACTCCAGCAGCCAATAAGATTACCACATTGACATTCAGCTATCAAACCCAAACTCTACCTGTTCCAACTTAGCACACTTCTAAAGGTATATAAAGGGCTACTTTGGTACGGTGTTTTGTTCCATCTCGGTCTTTTAAATGAGAGCTAATGGTGCCCTGATTCTGAGTAATGGAATGTCATTGAGCTAGTGAGTCCTGTTGTAATGCATCTTGAAATGAAGGTAGCCTCACACTTTGCCATGGCAGGATTAAATAAATGGATGTCTTTCAGTAGCTGTGCTCCTCTTTGTGCTCTGCACGTCACGACTGTGCAGAGGCCTCTGGATAAACATGTCTCCTATAGGCGATGTGGGCTAATGACGATGTAATTGAAACTGGCTACCAATGATTAATTTAGCACAATTTGACATCATTTGCATAGTGTGTACACACATGCTGCAGCCGGTGATATCTGCAATCATCGCCTCTCCCTTGTGGAATTTTTTTGGAGCTCATTGCTCGGAGATAAGGCTCATCCTCAGTCCGACATGTCTGTATCTAGTGCTACTTCCAACTGTGTGAAATAGCCGGGGGGAGCAGGCACTTGTGCTATCAAACAATACTGACCCTTTTCTCATCTCAACCTTAGTGTCTTC